CTAAACCTATCATTCGGAAAGGAAAATTCATTATCTTGATCTGCAGTAAGGACAAAATAGATTATTTCATTATTTAAAGTGAAAAAAGTAATTATACAAGGAAGATTCAAGTCAAATAGCTATAAAAATAACTAACCTGTATCACATGATCCACTTTCGGTTACTGATGTTCAAGAAAAACCCAAAAACAGGTTAGGACCTATTTCATACTTATTAAAATAGAACTTTTAATATATGCATAACAGATAAATTCTTTCAGCCATACTTGCTTTTGAGGGGCTGAGTCCACTTAATTCTGAAGTAGAGATGAGAGGTTCTTGGTCATCACTTTTAAATAAAGATTCAGGTACTTCATCACTTGGACCATCAATAGAGGCCCTACAATTACTACCGTTCTTGTTATTGTCTTGATGCTTGACTCCATTTCTAGGAAAATTGAACTCCGGAGGTGGTGGTGGATAAGGATCCTTATGCCTTGAACGCAAGAGTCCATTTAAAACTTCATGAAAGAGGCCATCACCCCCCTGTCACCAAATGAGTGACAAGAAAACCATAAATATTATGGGCTAGGGAAAAATGCTTCAACTCCCTTGAGTTTTAAAAAACAAGCCTTCCTACCAAAGAAAAAAGATAAATGCCCTTATCCCCCTAATCTCTTATTTTCTTTGTAAAACCCCCTTTTCCCCACCAGAATTTATAACTAACCCTAAAATACCCCCAAATGCATTTAAGGTTGTGGTATGTGTGTAGAGTTTTCTCATCTTAGATTCATCCAAGTTTGTAAACTTTTACCCCAAACTCACGAAGGACCAAACATTTAGATAAGAAAAAAAATCATTTTAAATCCTCCCATGATAAAAAAATAATATATTATTAAATACACCAAAATAGTCTTCTTCAGTTCATTCGGCACCTTTCCTCCTGCTGGCATCATCATCAATTCATTTATTGTTCAACCGTGGCCTCAATGGCAATGGAATACGAGGTAATCGGCTAGTGGCAATGGTGGGTCAATGATGTTGGCAACAGAGGCAACGACAGAAACTCAAAAAAAAAAAAAAATTAAAGTCCGAAAAATTCTAATGTGAAGAAATAACAGTTAAATTAGAGTTGTCACGTTTCAAGAGGGAAATTTTTATAAGAACCTAGAGGTAATAAAAAGAAAGAGTGAAGCAGCACGAAGAGTTTACTCTACAGGCCTCACTTCTTCCTAAAAAATATAGACCGAACACTACAATTCTTAATCACAATCTCCAAACCCAAAGCCTCTTAGACCCATTAGACTATGAACGCCTGTCATATAGATTAGTCGCCAACCATCCTTTCACCGTTCTCCTTTTACAGCTCATTTCGCAATCGCCATGGTTGTTAACGATGCAGTGATTTTTTTATAAATAATAAAGTTGGGATACTCTATGATTAAGCAAAAGTATTAGTGGAGAGAAGGGTGTCTTACAAAGGGAACAAGAGTCTAAGGGAGTAAAGATATTTGAATTTTTTTTTTTTCTTAGGGAGGAAAGCTCAGTCTTTAAATATCAGGAGGTTGGAAGCATTTTTCCCTACGAGAAAATAAAAGCAATCAAGCTACATGTTGCCCATTTTAAAACATGACGTGAAAATTGGAGTATTTTTTGTGTCTTTCATCTAATAGTAAAATAGACATCTTTTAAAAGTTATTTTCATGAAAAAGTATCATAACTTTGACCAAAGTGAAAGAGTTAACATGTGTATTCATAGTATTTGTGTTCATATCATTAAAATGGAATGATTTTTTTTTTATGTTATGCATCAATCCGTATACATATATTGATCGAATTATAATAGATGAACGAAAATTAGGAGTGATAAGTCCAACCTTTATTTTATTTCCTCCGTTCCATTAAAAAAAGAGTGGGAAAATAACAACAAAGCTTTTATCCCAATAGAGGTATCAATTTTTGGATATTCCATGGAAAGAGAGGAATATCCAAAATAATATGTTTCTGCGACTTGTGATCTTGTGTATTCTACTATAAATTTGGCTTATAAATTCCCAATAATTTATATATTAAAACATCTCATGCACTCTTGCTCACATGCCCACATGCATGGCTATGCACAAGCTTGCACACACTCATGCACATGCTCACAAACAGAGACTCCAAAATTATGCGCTTTATTTCTGTGATGATGACTTTGTATACCCTACCACCAAGGTTTTAAATGTCGGATGTCGGGTTCATGTCGGATGGCTGAAATCCATGTCGGATAGTGGAAATCGGGGATATATCGGAAGACATTGACTAAATATCGGATTGCCATATCGGGTAGTGCGCATATGTATAATATCATGTCTTAAATGTAATCTAAGCATTCATAAATTCAATATAACCATACTTTATAAATTCTATAGACTAAACATATAAAAAAGTAAATAATATATGGATTTAGGTTCATAAATTCTTTCTATCGGGTTCATAAGAAACCCTTAAACATGAGAACAGGTCAAACGAGTTTGAGTATTTATCACTAAACCCAAACCCGATAACAAAAAACAGATCTTAAAAAAAATATCATATCGGTCGATTTTTCAAAGCTAAAAAATAAGTCGATATGCCTGATATGACCCTGATATTTCCAATTTGACCCTGAAAACCGATATACGAGTTGAAAACGTCCATATCGTGTCGGTCAAGCCCTCAAAAATTTGACCCTGAAAACCGATATACGAGTTGAAAACGTCCATATCGTGTCGGTCAAGCCCTCAAACCGATATGTCGGGCAACATTTAAAACCTTGCCTACCACAGAATAGACTTATGGTGTTCCAACTAAATTATGCACTAGGACATATTTTCAGTCAGGCAACATTGCACACACACAGAGTTGAAGGTCTTGTTTGACCTTCTGAATGATATCTGAACATTCAAGAACGAAAATTAATGGAATCTTATTCAATATTTATATGCACTAAGTTTCTTACCCATTGATGATCACTTGATTGAGCTGCTTTGTGGATGATCCGCTCCGTTAAACTTGATCTACATATTCTAAAACCCCAACACACCAAATTTGGGGTGAACCCGTCGTGGTTTGACCCTCCGTCGAGCCATGTAAAAAGTTCTATTCATTTGAAACCATTAAAATTGATACGAGTGGATGAAGGGTCAAACCATGACGGATTCACCCCAAATTTGGTGTGTTGGGGTTTTAGAATATGTAGATCAAGTTCAACGGAGCGGATCATCCACAAAGCAGCTCAATCAAGTGATCATCAATGGGTAAGAAACTTAGTGGACGTCCACTTAAGTTGACACAAGTTTTACTCTATATGAGTAAAACTTGTGTCAACTTAAGTGGACGTCCACTAAGTTTCTTAGTCATTGATGATCACTTGATTGAGCTGCTTTGTGGATGATCCGCTCCGTTAAACTTGATCTACATATTCTAAAACCACAACACACCAAATTTAGGGTGAACCCGTCGTGGTTTGATCCTCCGTCGAGCTAGGTAAAAAGTTCTATTCATTTGAAACCGTTAAAATTGATACGAGTGGATGAATGGTCAAACCATGACGAATTCAACCCAAATTTGGTGTGTTTGGGTTTTAGAATATGTAGATCAAGTTCAACAGAGCGGATCATCCACAAAGTAGCTCAATCAAGTGATCATCAATGGCTAAGAAACTTAGTGGACGTCCACTTAAGTTGACACAAGTTTTACTCTATATATATATATATACATATATATATATATGGGAAGAGGTTAATGGGTATCAAATTTGGCACTTCCAAATAATTCCATTACCGTGTTTTGGGATTTAGCTATGTGGAATTTTGGAAGATGAATCCATATTTTTAACTTGATAAACTTCAGATATCCAGGTTTAACTGGATAAACCTTCATTACCTTATTTTTCAAGACATAAATACAAAATTAGATTTTTGAGAAACTTTTTATCACTTGCATCCCTAGAACTAACGAATTGGGAGCTCTAAAAAAACAAAAGGTCCAAGCTAAGGTAACAAACACCCGTTTCTAAGCTATAACTTTCCTCCTACAATGTTAAATTGAAAACACGATCTCATGCAAATCTTTCACTGCTTTGAAAGGAATTTTGGCTACATCAGGGTATTTATCTAACGAGCTTAGACCCTAGAGCATAAAGTTCAATTAGCACCTAATGGAATAAGGTCATTGACATCAATCAATAAGCAGCATTAGTAAACTTTTCTAGTACTTCTTACCAACATGCACATGAATATATGATTTTGAACTAAAATTACAAATTTTTTTTGTTAATATTGGACACGAACAGAAGAACAGATAATAAACTTATGCAAGATTTTGCCGCACAGATAAATGGATTAAATCACATGGCATAAGGTAGTGACTCACCACAGTTACAATGCCATCTACCGCATTAAGTTCTCTGTTTGTTGACGAACTTACTATGTCATATGCATGCCCTGCTCTCTTTGTTAGGCTTACCTGAAAAGCATGAAGGAACTAGATGGGTGGACGCACTAAAATGTAAACATATTACTCCATTGACATAAAAAGAGTTCCATAATATCATCGAAGCTAGCATCGGTTTAAAAGGAGCACCAAGGACTTGATTTTGTTAGGCTAATAATTAGACTTTTAACGATAATCATTATTGTATGTACTCACTACTGTTTTCACTTTAGCCCGGACGAATAGAGGAGCAACAGATTCCCAAGTTTTGCGTCCATTCTCTTTTCCACAATGTGGATGAACAAAAACCTAGGCAATACTATTGGAAGTTAGAAAGTCAAATCATGGTTCCAGAATCGAATGGATTCAGAAGAAAATTAAATTCATAAGAAATGATTGAGTGTACCAAAAGACTCTTTGGTCTTCCAACTTCCATGTTAATGCGAGCATGTAAACGGTCCACCCATGTTTTGCATGTTTGAAAATCCTCATGCCCAAAGATATAAGAAGAAAGAACCCAAGGAGAATTGTAATTCTTTTTCTTATAGAAACCATGCACCACAAATCGATTCATCTGTGAGAGACAAGAAAAGAAATTGGTAAGAAGCCTCATAAATCACCCTGTGACACAAATCTCTACATAAAAAAAATTACAACCTCAGAGTTCTTGCCCAAAAGAAGTCCACCTTTCCAAACAAAGTCATAAATTAAACCCCAACCAATAAACTCGACAGCATAAATATTGGAAAACTTAATCTCATCCTCAGTCTTCAAGTTCATTGTCATGCCTAAGCAGAAAGAGGTGCCTGAGACCTGATATAAACATAACAGTCAAACAAAGAAGTTCAAGGCATAATCAGAGATAAGTTCATGACAAACAAAAAAGATAATGAAAAAGAGCATTATGTGAGTAGGAAAACATCAACCACCCTAAAGCTTCTTGTCAAGTGTATCTTCCATCAATGACATGGAACCTCCAGCTTAAGGCGAACCAATCACATGTAACAAAATCTCAAGAAAATGCCAGATATCCATGACAGAGACATAGCAATTGGTAAAAGCAGTAGTCTCAACAATGAGGACCCAGCCTCAAAATGGACCGCCTACAAGGCTTGGAAGTAGGAACTATATGGCCCAAAGGAGGCAATCTCCATCCAAATATTGGATCTGATTTTAACCATTAAACCATCTTATGATATCCAATTGGGACTAAACTGTAAGGCAAGGTCTTATATCAAAGTCTTGTCATTGTAAAAGCCAGCCCAGGTTAAAAGAAGACATTATCAGATATTGTGCCCAACTTTATCAGGTAAATTTTTTGTGCTATCATAAACAAGCTAAGTTCGAACTTACATGGGCATGGGAACATTACAATGGGATAATGGTCTAATAGATGTGTTGTTTACATCATTTTCATTTAGGCCTGGCCCTTATCGGGCACAAATTTGCAATTTAAGATTCAATGAACAGTACTCTCAAATATTATCTATATAGCTCTTCATTCCATGTCAGGTCTAGCACTACGTTTGAAGAAGATAGGTGGATGTTGCATTTTATAAATTCATGCAAGGTTATCGATAGCGGATAGTGTCGCGTAGCGGTGAGGCATCGCTAAGGCTATTTCGAACTATTGCGACAAAATAGCGGTAAAAAGTGCAAAGTCAAATAGCGGTCTAATTTAGATATGTATAACTACTAAAAAAAGAAAAATTAAAGAAAAATCTAAGAAATCTAAAAAATACATATTTGATGATTTAAAGAGATCCTAAACATGAAATAGACATGTAACCATCACGTAATACCGAAGATGACTGGAGGAGTCAAAAAGTAGTCGTCTTTGAGAAGAAGAGCTTAGCGGTGACAGGACTGTCCTAAGAGGAGCTCATGGTGAAGGAGGTGAGAGGAAGTATCAAGGTAGGTGTCAGAGGCTATGAGAGGTGGCGGGAGTATGCTGAAAATCACAGGGGACGGTGGAATGCAATGGTCAATGGTTGAGTTTAATTTTAAAAAAATAAGCATCAAACAGCTTTTAAATAGCAGTCAAAAAGCAAATTTCGAATGCAATCGCTCACTATTTATCGTTATGACACACTATTGGCTACTTTTGCAAACAGACATGTTCCACAATATGTCACCGCTATTGCGCGATAGCGTAGCGGGCGATAGCGTAGCGGGAAGGGACCGCTAACGCTATTAGTGCTGCTATTGCGGGGCTATTTACCGCTATTTATAACAGTGAATTCATGTTCATGAAGACTAGTTGGTTACTATATTTGCATTGGTCTATGTTGCCTGGAAATGGGTATAGTTAAGGGACACAACAACTTGTAAAAGGTAGAGTACAGGGAAATGGCTACATAAATATGTACACACACACCTGACCACCGACACAAACAGACATATTACATATTGAAATAAATAATTTTTTTACAAGAGATCAATATTGTTTTCATTTACGTGTCAATGTGTCATGATAATTAAGTTCCTATAACATTTTATGTTTCTTATATATTATGTGGGTTATAAATTGGAAGATTGCTTGATTTAAACTAGACACTCAAACGACCTTTTAAAATCATGATTTGAAACTCGTCCTATGTCCAACGAATTGCAGGAAGTGGATGTGAAGTGTATGATATGCGTCCAAGAATTGTATGACAAGTGTTTTAAACTAAAATGTGTATTGGGTACATGCCTGAATAAATGTATGCATGTATGCAAGGAGAGTTCAAGGAGTTTAAGTACGCGTACGTGTCAGGTACAAGTATAGATTCAGATAGAAGTACCCAGGTAACATAGGAATTGGTGTGCATCTTAGGTGTTGGTCCTACCAACCAATTTTGGATTGGAACAGCCACACAAATTTATAAGCTTAATTCTTGATTATATGGTCTCAAAAATAAAAAAGGAGGCCCCAGAAATATTGATAAAAACAGTTCAATTTTGGATCCAACAGTTTTAAAATTCCCTTCGGGTTAATCACTTTTGTATTTCCCTAATTAATTATATTCTATCAACTTACTTTATATTCATAAAGTGTTTCTAAATATAGTTTTTGAATTCATAATTCATTTCATTTGATTAATTAGTTTCTGATTTGATTAGAAAATAAAACTTAATAGTTCATGGAAGTATTCTAACTGGAGTAGAATTAGAAATCACTAAGGAACTGAAAATTTCTAATTTAATTAATTTGATAATCAACAATAATTAAGCATGTTTAGAGTAATTAAAATCCTTTACGTATCACAACTGATCAATTATTTTCTAATTTGATTATTTGAAGGATAGAAATTGATTAATTCATTTCAAAAAGCTAATATCCTTTCTAGTCTTAAGTTTGCCACAGTTCTCCTTTGGCTTTTTTCCCATAAGAACAAACTAATTACACTAGCTAACTCTTTAACCCTTGTTATGTTTGTGGCTCTGTCAGCACGCATTTTCCTTAATGTCTATAGACCTTTCTAACATTAAAATGATATGTCTATGTAGCTGACAAACAGCCATTAAAATCTCATCGTCACGAATGATAATAGTCCTTAAAAAAAGAAGTGTTGTCTTTGTTAATTTAAATTCCTAAGGCTTTACTCTATTTTACCCATTGCTGCTTTTATATAATTGAATTGACCCTAAGCCGGGTTAGAACTTAGAAGTGCGTTGTGCTTATTCATGTCCAAATGTGACCCATACTTAGGCCTATGCACAAACCGTGTGAGCCAAGTACTTTGAGACCATCCACTAATCAACTTGCCAAATGGTTGCTACATTTGTCTCCTCTTCCGTGCTTGTCCTGCTTTGGGTCACCTCATGTGTGTCTGCACTTGTTAACGTGCATTAAACTGTACTTACTTAAGATTACCCATTAAATAACCATAACTGAGTAAATAACAAACTAACAAAGATATTAATTAATTATGAGCTAAGCTGGATAGTACTGGATATTCGGTATGTCCTACTTCTTCCATAAATCTAACATGAAATATGTTTTGACTCGTCTGCTGGATCAGTAGGTTGGCGCCGCATACTTTCCAGCCTCACTCCAAACACTGATCAGTGTTTATTCGTATCCCCATCGGAAAAGTACATTGATGGATTGACCTAAAAGATTATCATTAGGTTTGCATGTGCCCACTATCTATACGTCCAAACCTAACTTGTCGCCTTCCATCTCCTCGACAAACGGGAGTTTTGGAAGAGAAAACAGACCGTACGAATCCTCGGCACGGCTCGCAAGACAATCAAGCACTATCACTACACCATCAACCATCGTAAACCCTCATACGCGCATACAAAAACACCATTTAAATCGCTCTATGCCCATGAAAGGCATAATAATAACTTCTTGAACAAATGCCCAGACCCTTCTCTTAAAAAATAAAGAAATTTCAACAAACGAGCAAATGTTCTTGAATACACATAATCACTATGCTATGGTGATATCGTCGCAAAATGCATCTTGAATTATGTCCTAATTTTTGGAACGACGATGGACTCATGAAGCGTTTCCTCAAAAGTTTAGGGCATATATGATGGTAAATTGATTTTTTTTTTTTTTAAATGGGGAAATTGAGAGCTCACGTTATCAACAGCGCTCCATGAGATGCCATCGGAATTGAGGGTGACGACGACATCGCCGACGCGGTCCAAGAGGAGGGTCCCGCTCAACGCCGGCGTTCCTGTCTCCATTTTGCGAGAAAGCCCCCCAAGAAAAATAAAAATCCCCAATTTGAAAGGTTAATTTGCTGCAGAATTCTGAGGTTGGAGAGAAAGAGAGAGAGAGAGAAGAGAGGGCCGCCGATTTGGAATTTGGAAATTGGAAATTTTCTGTTTTTTCTCTGGGCCAAATGGGCCTTGCCGAGCATATGAATTTGACCGCCGGAAGCCGAGAAGTGTAATGGGCCTTAACTTGAAACAGGGTTAGCGTAGAATTCAGCGGTCAGATATCAATTGCAGATAGCCTTCCTTATTTGTACATTTAAGTTGCATCTAAGAGCATCTCCAACAGCTTCCATTTTTCCCACTTTTGGAGAATTTAGTTAGATTTTTGGTCCAACAGATTCTACATCTCATTCCCTAAAATAGGGATGGAGGAGAAAAAATGGGATAGCTTCCCCAAATCTGCAGCATTCTCCAAATTTTTAGAGGAAAAAAATGAATTCTTCAAAATGGAAAAGCTGTTGGAGTTGGTGTAAAAATAATTTGGAGAATATGACTTTTGCTTTCCCATTTTGAAGAAAATTTTGAAGAAGTTGTTGGAGATGCCTTAGGGATGGAGAAATACTGGCGTTGATTATGCATTTAATGACATTTATTGCGAGGTGATCAGCTGTCGGTACGCGACAGGGGGGCTCGAGGTAGTCATCGTCTTTCTACTTTTCTACCATAAGGTCGAGAAATACCACATTTTGAGTCGCATTCGCAAAATATCGGCCGAATGGTCGATCGATCGGGTTGATCAAGCAGTCGACTTAGCCAGAGGTCAACACGTAACGCTTTTTGAGTCGTCCTCTCAAGATGTCGAGTCGTCCGAGTTGGGCCTTTGATTATCTTAAATAGTCGACTTGATCACACATAATGTAGGACACTTGTTGGCTATTGATTGGGGATTACATTTTAACACTATAATGGTTATAACAATATATATCAGTTTGGATAAAATTAAGATGATTTTCATATAAAATCCCTTAAAAAGAAAAAGAAAGATTGAACCAGATGATCTCTTTAGGCATAGTTTGCTAGCAGGTAGGCAAGGTAGAGTAATGAAGAAAAGATGGAATTGCATTTGATAGAGGGTTTTTTTTTTTTTAAAGTCGGACTGCTCAATTTGTTATATGACTATACAAATAAAATATCCGTCGAATCTATTTCAAAGCAGGTAAGATTGAAACAAAGCAGACAATCTCTTCCCTCTGATGGATATATGACCTTCTACTATATGGCAACGTTGAAGGTGTTATGGCTCCCTGCGTACTATAATTATGACGCAGCATCATTATCTGGAACAAATGCTTTCTCAATTCCTCTATAGATAGACTAGACATTGCATGAACAATAATACAAAGTTCCTCTACGCAACTGATAAATATGTATTGCAGTTAAAAGAAAATCACTATAACAAGAGTTAGTGCTAAATAATTGTCAACATCTCACTAACTAGCCAACTACAACTCTACATCATAATACAAGGTTCCATTGAAAAAATGACTAGAAAAGAGCAGGGACCAAAAACACTAGCAGTCGAACTTTCCTTTTAAAAGGTTGATAAATACAACTAATATCACAGTGCAATGCCCTCAGCAGTTAATATTTGCCCGTCTCATTTCATTTCCTCTTACTCGAGGAATGTGAATTCATGTACAAGCTTCTGTTCATATCGCCCATGAGCGGGTAGCAGTCAAGTTGCGAGCATGCACAGCATAATGGCATAAAAGTGCGGTACTTAGGTCCATACTGTAGAGCCAAAAATCCTAAAACGAAGTATGAGGGTTTAATTGAGAAAATATATAGTTCTCAACCATCGCCCTTGCCAATGTCACCTGGTAAGCAAGCATAGAATTTCAAAGGTCATTGTTAATTCATTGCGCGGATTATTATTATTACTATTATTATTTGAATAAGTTTCACAGAACCCCAAAGAAGTATGGCCCATTTTGAGATAATCCCCAAAAGTTTGGGAATGTCACTTTGACTCCCAAAACTTCTGCACTTGTTAGAATCTATTTTCAGATAACCTCCAATTTTTTGGGGGTCATCTGAAAAACTTTTGGGGCTCAAGTGACATTTCCAAACTTTCGGGGGTTTATCTCAAAATAGGACAAATTTTTTGTTGAGGGTTGAGTGAAATTTAACCTAATTAATTGGAATTCTTCAAACCAAAGGGATGGAGGAGGTAAAAAGAACAGAATCAAGAAGAGAGTTTACCTGGAGAGCGCTGCCTCCAAACTGGATCAACCTCTGCTCCCCTTTGCCTCTTGCACCGTTTATCTTCAAAACACATGATGGAATTGTCAGACATGGTAAGTCCAAGAAATTCCTATGCGGCAGAAATAAAAAGAAAGCACAAAAAACTACCGCAAACTCATCATTATAGATATTTCATGAGTACAAATTTTGTAACAGAGGTCCTAAGGTGAACATTGACATCAAGTTGACAATTTTCACAGATTGCTACAAAACTCTAATAGAGCCTTCTTAGCACAGAGCAGTGGAGCACACTAATCACTTTCTGACGGGGAAAGGCAAAAGAAGAAAAGATAAAGAATACCATGAAACAGCACCTCAGATTCCTAAACTAAGGGATAATTTCCATTATATGCTAATTCCTTTCACTTTTTGTTTACAATGCAATAGGGGATTTAACAAGCACCCTCCACAGGGGGGCGCCAAGCACGAATGTAAGTTGAGATTCATAAGAAAATTGACTTAGTCAATATTTAACTTGGTCTAATATCTGAATGAAGAATAATTGAGAGCCTGAGTTGAGGGTGAAAATCTGCAACCAATCAAATATGCTGTGCAAATTTAAAATTTTCTTACCAACCACAATAAGTAATCAAGTCTGAGTTTACAATTGATCCTATTTGGCTAAAAAATAAGGGGTATTTTCATTCCACAGTTCATTACTTTCCTTTGTTTTTTTTAATTTACTTTCCACCCACATGCAAATTGCCATTAAGAAGCATTGTTTTAAATATCCCGACATGGCCTGATATATTCCTCGATATATCCTTTTACAGGGCTTACCGCAACCGATATAGTCTCTAAATATCCTTTACCGCTTTTTGGCTATTTTGGGTGATATGTTAACCGATCTTTCCTTTTATATAGCTTATCTCAAAACAATATATACAGCGTTTGGCAATTTTTACACGAGATATTATGACTTTCCCAGTTTCCCGTTATATCAGATGACATTTTCGCCTAAAAAATCAAACGAAATGTTGCAACGTTGATTTGTACTTTTGTTTGTTTTACAAGGTTGATTAGTGATCCTAAACATATATTATCTATATTTTATATGCTAAGATTTCATTAAGTATGTTGAGATTACATTTTAGTGCATTATACTATAAATGCAAACATTCATTATAGCATTATGATATATATCATATATCCACGATATTTCCCTAATATCCGCAATCCAATATAAATTTTGACCATCCGCTATTTCCCCAATGTCCCATATTTAAAACCTTGTTAAGAAGTAGACAATCCGAACAATGAAAACTAACAACACGTTCTTATGCAAGAGCTGCCTCTTCCAGATTTGCAAGTGAATGGTTATCAACATATTCTCTAAAATGTGGATCTGATAATTCCAGAATGACCAGATTGTCATATCCAAAAAAAATGAAAAAAAAACCCTACTTACAAATATTCAGCTGATGTCAATATATTCCTGAATCCTGATTGCAACATGGATCATAGATGAGGGCTCACTTATTGAGTTTGAAACTTTAAGCAGCTTAAGTTTGAACGATTCAATGAATGAATCAAAGATGAAAAGTAGAAAAATGTTAAAATAGACAAAAGCACCTTGATAGTCGCCCCAGATTCTGAACGGATCTTTGAGATGTTGTAGCCATTTTTTCCGATCAATCCACCAACAAGTCCTTCCATTATCAGCATTTCTGAGGTGACATGATCAACTGCAAGAGTGGGTGTCCTATAGTTGATCTTTCTATGAGAACAAATACTACAATGATGTGCGGTGCAATGACAAGGCGGATTTCACGGTTTAACTCACCTGAAGGAGGTGGCAGATAAGGTGGATGATAGGGTGGCAGATAAAGAGTGGGGTTTGAAAAAGCAAGTGCATGCCTGTATCTCGGTTTAACTGAAATGACCTCTGTAGGCGGATTTTCCCTGCATAAATTGGTAAAAGACTAGCTTAAACAAAACAAGCATTCTAGAAACAAAGTGGCGTACTGTGCGTACCTTAATTTACTACCAATTTTTTCCAAGGCATTTAATACTTCAGGAACATTCCCTGATACCTGACAATAACCAGAATACAAATGAGGGAAAGCAAGTCAAAACAGTAATGATAAAGAAAAAGGCAAATATGAAGAATGAAGGCAATTGTGGATAGCAATGCACATGAAATAGACCCAGCAACAGATAATACATACTACTGTCCATATGTTCAATCAACATTCTAAATGCCAGAAAGGCAGTTAAATTTTGAACTCAGAATAGGTTACCTGTTGAAAGATCCACATAATGCTTCTAATTGTGAATATACAAGTCCAAGAAAATTAAAAACATCATAGTGGGGGATTTCTTTAGGAAATCCATGCTATGTTTCATATTAGATCATACATATAGCTCAAGCTCACTCAGAAATATTATGACAAAGTATGAACTCTCCTGTACTGCTCACCTCCAGTAACTTCTGTAAATCCTTGTGTTTTCAAGGATGAGAATCAAATTAATGGAGACTAACAAAGATTGTATAGATATTTTTTGTTGTAGTGCAAGTCAAAACACTTGTATTGGAGGATCAATGAAATGATCTGGAGGTGGTTGGCATTAGCTCTGTACAATAGTCAATTTCAATGCAATATAAAAAATGTCTAGCAATCTCACAATGACATTTAGAAGAGGCTACAACTCCAAGTCATTTGAAGCTTTACTTCAAAGAGGATGGAGTCTTCGCAAGGGAATTTTGTTTTCTTATTTATGAGACATTCTTGTGAATCATCCACGACTGACAGATTCTTCCAAGAAGACTCAGTCTGCTTGCTGGAGTATTCTCCCATGCAGGACTATATACTCCTTTCACT